TAACCCGAGGGCCTTATTCGTTTTCTCCAAGTTTCCTTAGAGGTTTCAGTTATCGATTGGTTAATATTGATTGTATACATTGTGATTTTGTATAATTGAATTCTAGTATAGTCTTGATTCTTGTAAATAGATTATATCCAGCTGAACTTCAATTACTAGCTGTAATAATGTAATATAATTTGTATATCCCCAGTCTACATTTGCCTAAGTAATAATGAGATCTTTATTTTTTTGAATATACTTATCGATTATACTATTCATAAAAAGGATTTAGATATAATATCTACCGTTATAGAGATCTTTATATTATTTATCTTCAGATCTATTAAAATAAAGGCTTTTTCTGTTAAGGCTTTTATATTAAGATTCTGCTAGCTTTGACTACAAGCTGGATATATGTATAATATAGTTAATATAATCAGCAGATTTGTATTAAACCTGTATAAGTATTTGCTGAAGTGTTCATTCTTATATACTATAATCCTCATTCTCAGAGTAATCAGGATTTCTATAATTATTATTTTAGAAGGCAAGATAGTTCAGGGGTATGATCTGCTTTGTCTATATTTGTTTTATATAACATCTTATAATCTTTTCTATCAATAGTTCTAATTGCGGTTAGTTCCTTTATAATTAGAATGATCTATCATTTAGTGTAAACCCTAAAAGTAGCTAGGCAATTAGAATAATCAGTATAGAAGGGTCTATAACAATTAGTATATTAAACTGCTTTAATGTATTATTGATGTATAAGTATATTCTTATATTCAATATTTAGTTTACTATATATCGAGTATTTTAAAGCTCTATTACAGATAAAGAGATTATAGTATTCTAGGTAGTTAGTACTGTGAAATTGAATTTCCCGGGATTTGTTTAAAAGAACCGAATAGGAGCTGTTATTGAATAGTCGAAATCGTGGTACTACAGTATTGAAGTTAATGATTCAGATGGCTTTTTTAGTAATCGGGTTGATTCCGCTACATACCAATCTATAATTGATTAGCTACTTGCCGGTTTGAACTGTAATCTTCTTCTTGATAAGCTTAATGGGTATAAGAGCAGGAATACCTTTAATATAATAGAAATTGTGTAATACTTATGGGATTGTATATATAAATCATTTTTCTAATTTATGTATATTTATTATATAAAGGGTTTTAAGTACCCGCTTGACATTTTCTGTTTTCATAATCTCCTTCCAACTAATATTAGAACTATATCTTAATGTTTAACCTGTATTATTCCTCTAAAGAAAAGAGATCTCTATTAATATGATTTTAGCAATTGTCTTTTTTATTTTAAATCTTAATAGGAATAGGCTAGTCTCTGAAAGCAGAGCTTTTCCGCTAGTTATTATAAGGATCGTTTTCTTGATCCAATTATTCTCCCTTTTGAGTCTATGTACTCCCAAGCGATTAGTGTTTATGCTTCCATTAAAAACAGAGTGTATTATATTAGTAGAGCCTGTAATAAGGCTTGTTGCCTTAAACCTTATCTGAGTTTTCAGTATATCAATATAGGTTTTCTGTATATTGCTTTCTGACTATAATTATTCATTACAAACTTTCTCTTTTAATTAAGAATAATCTCTATTACTTCTAGTAAAGCAGAGATAATCGTGCTCTTAAACTTTATAGCGAGTTTGCATTATTAGCCTTGGAACCCTTATACAAACTTATCTATTAGTATTACAAATACTTCAATTACTTTTCATCTTTTCTTTTTTATTTTATTAATCCTTTCAAATCATTTCTTAATTATACTAAAGATAAAGCCTATAGATAATCTTATAATTAATAAGAATTATATATTAGCCCCTGAAATATTGATAATTATTTAAAGGGAAAGTGCTCTTTAAATTGAGAAACTGCTCGGTATGCCAGGAATACACATCGCTATCAGTGTGATGAGAGCCTCCTATAGTTACAAGGTTTTGATAGGATTAAGCTTACTAGGGTAGGGGAAATAAATAAGGAGTATATATAAATCGTCCCTTGTGTTCGAAGCTGTGAAATTAGAGTGTATATACAGTTTGCCTTAAGCTCAGCTATTATCCTAATAAATGAAAACTCGTTGAAATGTCAATTTTCTTCATAATCTAATTTAATTATAAAATAATATCATCTCTCTCTCTCTCTCTCTTATTATTTAGATACTCGAAGATATCGAACCGGATCGGATCGGATTAGAGTGATTATATTATCTATATTATCTATATTATCTATCTATCTACCTACCTACCTACCTATCTACCTACCTACCTACCTACCCACCTACCCACCTACCTACCTAATACACAAATAAAAACCTACCTAGTAGATTCATTAAATCCAATAGAGAGATATCTACTTATATCTACTTACTACTTATAACGTGTTTTATCACCGAGTGGATCATATCATCAAGTGAATGACTTTCATCTCGATTCTTGATCTTTTATTTTAATATACATTTTATTAATCAATTGAAATATAATTGAATAATAAAGAAACTCGAATACTCTAGTTATTGAAGTTATTCAAAAAGACAAAAAATTTAGTATTCGAAAAGCTGTTAAGCTATATAATTTATTATATATAATATTTAATTATAGAATAAATGATTTTATTCTTTGTATCGAAATTCGAGCAAATTATTATAATTTTATAAAATTAGAAAAGAAAATAATTATTCAATATATATTTGATATAAATTCAAAAAGATTTTTATTTAAATTTAGAATAGTAAAAGATATAATAAATTATATTCTTAAATCAAGAATTGTAAAATATATTGGAAAGTTTTGGATGTATTGATTTGTAAAATATTAAATCGAATTAAAGATATGTTCTAGTTGTATTTATAATTTTTAAAAGGTTTTTTACAAAAATCCTAAATTTATTGAGAAATGATTTCAATTGATTTTGAATATATAAGTAAAATATAGTATTTTCGATTGCAATTTTTATAATTTCGATAAAAAGACTTTATAATAGATATAATATATTCTGAAATGGTAATAACTAGTACTAAATGAAATAGTAAAAGCAAGGGCAATATAATCAAGCAATAAGGAATAGGCTACAGCGATTATATATGATAATGGGAAGAGTGAAATTATATTCCCATTTTAATAATTCAAGAATAGATTTATCTTTTCAATTAGTATATCGAACCGATTTTCCAATGGATTAAGTTATTAAATCTATATTTAAGAATAGATAAATAATAAACAGATTTAGAATAATTGAAATATTTTCAATAAATCTATTAAGAATCGAAAGAAAGAATAAATATCAATAATTGATACTAAATAAATATGAAAACTATAAATCAAAAGCTTTTTTAAATATATTACAAAAAGAATGATATTAATATATATATTATTATTATATTCAAGTTATTTAATTCAATCATTTAATATAAACTATTTTAATAATCTAAAATATTTATTAGTATTTAGATTAATAGATTCATTAAGGTATATATCAATTATATTTCGAAAATTGAATTCTTTATAGCTTTCAAAGCTATATACAAAAATCAATACCTTTCAAAATATAAAATCAGAATTTCCAAAAAACAGATTAATCCTATTTAATTCTAAAACTGTATTCTCGAATTAAATATTCGAATTCGTATATCTACTTTCCCCTCTTTCGATCTAGATCAATAAATCTCTCAATCCCTTATAATTCACTAAAGCTTTTTCTTAATTAATATTAATTAAATTTCGAATAACTCATTATCAATTAAGCTCTCCTATATTTATATTTTGAAATTACATTAGCTTTAATTAAGATATAAAGATATTAGTTTTATAAGAATATACTTTTAAATATAGAGATTTATATATTTTGAATAATAAATAAATATTAAGCAAATATCGATATACGAAAAAAATTCAGTTATATTAAAACAGAAATACTCACTAAACAAAAGCTCTTAATATATTATTTCAATAAGAGATTAATATTCAGATTTAATATAACAAATATCACAATAAAGGAAATTCCTATTAAAAAAACATTTTCTAATAAATACTATAATAAATATAAAAAATCAGATCATAATTCAAGAACTTATCAAAATAATGTAATAGATTCTAGATTATTAATTCTAACAGTTTTAATCAATTAATTCAAATTATTATTGAATAATATAAGTTTAAAGTGATAAATTGAGATAAAAGTGATCCACTTGGTGATATAATCCACTCGGTGATAAAACATGTTATCTATATCTATATCTATATACCTAATCAGATTCAGATTCAGATTCAAATAAGATAAGGTTTACTTACTCGAGTAGATATATGAATAAACAATATGGTTGGTCGAATGCATTACTTCTACTTCTACTTCTACTTCTACTTTCTACTTCTACTTCTACTTCTACTTCTACTTCTACTTCTACTTCTACTTTCAGTTCCAGTTCTGGTACAATACTATTCATCGTTCTAGTATTTCCAGTTCCCAACATCCCATCCCATCCATCCATCCCATCCTCACACACATCAAAAACACACACTCACAACCAATCCACACATCATCCCACACAAAAGCATTATATAATACCTAGTACATCATTTGATTGAAATTCAATTCATCGCCACAGCCACTGATAGGCTTGGGTATACTTATTTACATACATACATACATACATAAACACCCTTTTCTCCATTTCACTCCATTCTTGCTGATGACCTTTCTTTTTTTGAATCATTAATCATTGCCTCTCCCCTCTCCCCTTCCCTTCCCTTCCCTTGCCTTCCCTTCCTTTTCTTGAATTCCCCATTCAATATATACCATATGCACATTCATTAACGCGCGTAAACAATGCGAACCATTCAACCATACCATACCATACCGAATCATCCAAGCCAAGTTTAAAACATCCAGTAATTCCATGCATTTATCCTTTATATGCAAGTCGCAGGATATAAAAAAACACCGCTTCCATCCACGCTTGTCCAAATCACCTAGACAAACTATGCATGCACAAACCCGCAAATCCGCTCAATAATACAAATCCCTAATAACCTCGACAATAACTCCATGATCCTCCCACTGCTTCAATCCACTAACAACAACACAAGCTACCACTCCCTCCACACCCGTAACTCTAATTGGTACTCCACCTCCATGAATTGCATAATCTCCCGCTTCGTTCCCCAACCCATATTTGCGCGCAAAAGCACTCTCATCCCCTTCAAATTTACACCACATATACCATGTTGAAACACCCCATCTCAAAACCGTCTTTCTCTTTCGCGAAACCCAAGAATCGTTATCGGGCATGGTTCCAGAATGTGTACAGCAGTGGAAAAGAACTTGATTGGCATTTGAAAGGGAGATGGAAATAACGACTGGAGTTGGGTGAGGAAGGAGACGCTCCCGAAGAGCGGATCCGAGAACCCAGGCATCGGACGTGGTGAAATGTTCGAAGATTAGAGAGGAGTCTATGCGGGCTATGGATTCGAGCTGTGAGAGAGATGATGTTAGTATAGTTCAATAGAATGAATTAATGGGATTGAGGTGTGAATTGAAAGTTTTGATCTGATGTTTATCGAATGGGGCACTGCCTGCCATGATGAAACTTTATGAATGACGCTCCGCTGGCTCTCCGAGGGCCACTGCCGTGGAGGCCGACCAGTTTCGTAGAGGAAATAATCGAGCGCAGCGAGCAGAAGGGGGTTTGGGGGCTTGCCCCCATAAAGAGCAGCAACTAGAATAGAAGCTTCCATTCATTCTCTCACGTTCAACTTCCCCTTCCGCCATCTCATCTTGAGAAACAAAAATTAAAAGAAGAAGATACTTACATCTTTTGGCGGATGCGCAATGGGTCTTGGTACCATCTCCGGTGTTCCCCTCTCACTACCAATACTGCTAGCCATTCTGATTCCCAATGCGCTGCTTGAAAAATCAATTGGATCCGCACGATCTTTATCTCTCAACCCTTCTCTTATTTCTCTGAATTTATCCTCCAGATTTCGTTGTTCACTTCTTCTTATCAGGTTTTGGGGTCTGGAAGGTGTTGATGAATTTGTAAAGGCGGTATTGAGATTCGAAGGTGTAGAAGGAGTTCTCGACAAAGAATAACTTGGAATTTTCGAATTGCTTGCGCGTTCACGAACACCGATTTTATTAAATTTTGGAGTGCGAGGTGATGATGAAGGTGTCGGAGACAAGTTTTCTCGTATTGTTTCGGGGATTGCGAGAGGTGGGGGAGGTTGCGGTAATGCGAGCGGAGTTGCTGAATTGGAATTGTTGGAATGATTTAATGGATCGGTGGTCTCTGAATTGGGAGTACTTCCGCTACGTGTAGTTTCTTCCAAATATTCTAATATCACACTCAATTGATCTTCACGCGCCCATTGAAAATCGGCAGATGGACGTGAAGGATTATTATTATTGAGTGGGAGGGAAAAATTGGGTGAAGTCGAACCAGGTGGTTGTGATTTTTTTAATCTGAGATTTCGACCGGGTGGTACTGAAATTGAAGGATGTGAATCGTCGCGGTTGCCGAGTTTATCTTTATCTTGAAGACTCGACTTTGATTTGGAACTCAAATTTGAAAGACTTCGAGTTGTATCTGAGGTATCGCGACGGCGGAGGAGAAGAGGTCGTGCATTTGCTACTAATTGTTTGCGGAATTTAGAGGAAGTAGTGGAAAGTGCGTCGGAAGTATCTTGTTGGGCGGCGTCTTTCTTTAAATTGGAGTGAGAATGTGAGGGACGATGAAGACCGCAAAATGTACTAGTGGGTTGTAGGAGACATTCCAGCTGATAAGGTGAGTGAGAGGGCGACATTAACCATTATTTCATTTTATTGGGAAAAGGAGAGAAGAGAATAGAATAGATAAGGATAATGAAATAATACAAGAATAAAAAGAATAAAAGAATATAAACAGTTCAGATTTAGATGATGTACAGTAAATTTAGAAAGAGAGTATATGTAGATGTAGATGTAGATGTAGATGTAGATGTAGATGTAGATGTAGATGTAGATGTAGATGTATGTGTATGTATATGTGTATGTATATGTATAGGTATGTATAGAGAGAGAGCAGGGAGAGAAAGGAAAAGAGAATGAAATAAATCAAGCAGTACTTTTGTATATAGAGAGAGGATCAGACCGATAGAAGAATATGGTATATATGGTAGATCTTGTAGATCTTGTAGATATTGTAGCTATTGCTGTCTGGTCTGTCTGCAGGTACCAAATCTCTCCTCGAGTACCTCGATCTTAGCTACACCTCCAAAAGCAATACAATGCAATGGAAATTTCTCCCCTATGTTAAATTGATACAATATCTAAACGTTTACCCTCATTTGATTGAAGAGAGAGGGGTCCGGATGTTCCGCATACGAAGGGTACTGGGTAGACTCGAGTAAGACCAAGACTAGGACTCTTTGAAATAATAGTTCAGATGAAGTTCATGCAAAGAATTGGGAAAAAGGAAAAAGAGATGAAAAGTTAGGGATCGAGGTTTTGGGGAAGTCTGGGAAATCTTCCATCTCGATGTTCATTTATATGAATAGAAGAACGAACATGATATATATGATATGATATGATATACTTGAAAACCATCGATAATATACTTCAAATAATGTATATTGAGCAAGATGTGAGGCTCACGAGATATAAAAGGAATTTGGAGGATTTCCCAATATCAATAGGATCGTTGATATTGGTGGATACATAACCCTTTTGTAGATCTCAAAGACTTGAACATGTAGAATGACTGGTGATCAAGATCTTTGACAGGTCGCCTTGCATATTCGGAATGATATGACTTGTATATTAATTGGACATGTATATCCTTGCTACGATCCAAGTCGAATGAATTTCTAGAATTTCTAGAAACTTAATCGTTCGTTGTCTTTGGCCTGAGGAGAAAGAGGAAACGAGAAGAATCTGGAGTATCTGGCTTCCGATCTATGTTCGTCGTCTTGATCATTCTCATATATCCAGAGTAGAATCTGTAGATATATATGACTTTGCATATTCATATCCTTTCTGGGTTTACTGATGGGGGCAAGCCCCCAAACCCCCATAGCTCGCTGCGCTCGAAATTCAAAAGATATAAAGAAGTAAGGTTACCGGTGCTACATATTGTCATTTCAAATAGTCCTGCCTCCACGGCAGTGGTCCCCGAAGCGCCAGCGGAGCGTCATTCAACTGTCTAGATACAATCCGGTAAGGTTTATGGTATCAGTAGTTTGATAGAGATAATCGTGATAGTAATTCGACAAGAACAAACAAGTAAACCGTTTGTAACATTAACCAGTAACTTGTATGTTTGTGTGTGTATACCTAGGTACATATACATGCAGATGTATATATATGTCAGTCATTTAGATGACTCCCGAATATTATTCGTTGGTCTTTGACTGGTGACTGGTGATTGTAGACGATGAGCCCATTCGTGGTCTAGTTTCATCACATCAAACCATCAAAAGATCTGGCTGGACTGGGTGACTGGAAGGGAATCATTGGACGTATCGTATCGGTATTGTATTGTCGGCGTCGGCTGATTTCTTTATGCACTCATGCACTCATGCACTCGTCTGCGGCCATCTGCAGCCATTTTAGTTCATATTCCAAACCACCCCGCCTAAAAAAAGTATCAATCCTCCTTCGAAGAGAGGCGACAAAAATGGGGAGAATCTGGATTTTCTTTCACTTCTCTCTGGAATATCAGATGAGAATATAATATTCCTCTCTCAACCCAAGTTACTCGTATTTACCTATTGAGATTACCTAGTAAGTTTTGATCAACATTCTAAGATAGATCTACAACTTACTTACAACTTTCAAAGAGATACACCCACCTAGGTCGATCTGGGCGCAAAGATGGACCCCGCAATCAAATCCGAATTGGAAAAATATGGCGACGATATTCCATTTCGCGCTGTAACAAATCATACACAATCAACATGGGCAAGGACATTTCATTCATCTCCTGAATTGTTCATTCAACCACAATCTATCGCCGAAGTCGAAAAGGTCGTCAACCTTGCGCGAAGATGTCGACGCAGAATTACAACTGTAGGATGTGGGCATTCTCCTTCAAATATTACTTGCACATCGAGCTGGCTCATTAATTTGGATAATTTCAATAAAATTCTATCTGCAGATAGGGAAACAGGTGTGGTGGTTATGCAAAGTGGAATTCGATTATATTCCGTGGGCGAACAACTTGATGCTGTCGGTTTGGCAATGCCAAATTTGGGTAGTATTAATCATCAATCGATCGCTGGAGCAATTTCGACAGGGACTCACGGAAGTACTTTGCGACATGGGATTTTGTCAAGTTCAATCTTGGAGTTGAAGATTACTCTTTCGAATGGAAGAACGGAAACTTGTTCACCGAATCAAAATGAGGAACTCTTTCGCGCTTCTCTCATTTCTTTGGGAGCAATCGGTATCATTACAGAAATTACTTTCCAAGCCGTACCAGCTTTCACTCTTTCATGGGAACAGACTGTGGATACAGATCTTCGAATGATGAATAACTGGGATAAAACACTGTGGACACAGACCGAATTTGTTCGAGTTTGGTGGTTTCCTTATACAAGAAGAGCAGTCGTTTGGGCTGCCGAAAAGACAGATTTGGCTCCAATGCCTCCTCCAAAATCTTACTATGATGCTTGGTTAGGATATCACGTCTATCATAATCTTCTTGCTCTAGGACATTACGTTCCTCGTATTCTTCCATGGGTAGAATGGTTTGTCTTTGGTATGCAATATGGATTTGCAAATGGTTCCAAGAGCTCCGCAATTCAACCATCTCGTCAAGCTCTCCTTATGAATTGTCTTTACTCGCAATTCGTCAACGAATGGGCAATCCCAATTTCCAAAGGTCCAGAAGCTCTGAAGAGATTAAGTTCGTGGCTTAATCACCTTACTCCAGATGATCCAGATTACGTTGCACATGGCATTCCTTATTCAGCAGAAGGTCTATACGTTCATGCACCTGTCGAAGTCCGCGTCACAGAAACAAGCAATAGTCTTACTCCTCGTCCACATCTCGATCCTACATGTACAGAAGAAGCAACTCTTTACCTAAACGCAACTCTCTACCGTCCATATGATATGGATCCACCATGTCATGCAAGATATTACCAAGGATTCGAATTTTTGATGCGAGAATTAGGGGGCAAACCTCATTGGGCTAAGAATTTCGAAACCACAGGTGGAGATATTGAAGAGATGTATGGTGAGAATTTGGAGAACTGGAGAAGGATTAGAAATGATGCGGATCCGGAAGGTATGTTTGTAGGAGAATGGCATAGAAGATTTGTTTTAGGAAATGGACCTAGACTAGCACTTGAAGAGGTGGAAACTGGAAGGAAGAGGTTCAGAAAGGGAGGTGTCTTGGTTGAGGGTGTGGTTGGCGGGTTTAGAGATGGGGAGGATGAAGGAGAGGGAAGTGAGAGTGGAGAGAGTTTTGATATGTTGAGGGCTAGCGAGATGAAGTAGAATATCCAGGGAAAGGGAAGGGATAGGTTTCTATTTTAGTGTTTTTAAGTAATAGCATAACCTAGGCATCGCATTACATTGCGTTGCATTTGCGGAAACGGAATCAGAATCAGAATGAGAATGAGAATCCATGATATCATATAAAGTGCTTTTAAGCGAGATAGTGAGTATGCGAAAGATCTATCCATCTATCATTTTCATTTTATTGCCCCTTCCACATCCCATTTCCACACTGTCCCCATTCATCGCACGCTCATTTCTCCCCTCCCCTCTCCCCCCATCCTAAAAACATCGCTCAACTCCATCCCCCCCTCCCCATCCCCCATCTCAAAAAACCCCCACCGCTGTTCCCTATCCCCAAACCTCCTCCCTACCTTCCTCTCCCCACCCAAAACCGGACACTCATCCCTCAAAACCTCAAACACAAAACTATAAGCGATCTCCTCATTCCCAACACGAGATGCATTATCATCGCGACAGTAGAGAAGCTCCGCATCTTCTCTCTTCTTTGGGAGTTTCGAAATCATGATGTGCAGATTGAGGAAATCGTCAAAGATGCGTCCGAGTGAGGGTTTTTGGGCTGGGGAAGTGAAGATTGATTGGATGGTTGGAGGTGGAGGTGGATGTGGATGTGGATGTTGACGAGAAGGGTGTGGGATTGCGAAATGGGATTTGGTAGAGAGAGTGCTGTTGTGGAGGATGGTGAGGATGTTTTGGGTGTGGGTTAGGGTGTGGAGAGTTTGTGATAGGAGGGAGAGGAGGTTGTGTGCGGAGACTTTTTCGGAGTGTGTGAAGAGGTGGGAGATTAGGTGGTGCATGCTGTCTATGATTAATATTTCGGGAGTGGTTTCTGTTGAGCTTGGGGTTGGGGTTGTGTGTTTGACTGATGGTGGTGGTGGTGTTAATTCGATGTCTTCCTCTTCGCTGTCGCAGATTTCATCTGGGATCTTGTGCAGTGGCTCTGCTTTCCCTTCAACGGGTTTGCTGGTCCGTGGTGGTATGATGGTAGGTATTTCCTGATCGTCCCCATTGTTTCTGGACAGGTCATGTAGTTGTCCTAGCTCACTTAAAACCTCCCATAGCCCCTCAATATCAAAGACTCTACTAATGGCTACCAGTTCCAGTAGTGCATTCGCCTCTTTTTGTATGTCGATCTCGGTACTTTCATCTGTATTATGACCAAAATTGATATTCATAGTCATATCATCCATACTCCTCATCTCACATCTCCTCTTCAAGAGCCTTGATCTCAAGATTTTGACTAAGAGAGGAAGGTTAAAGGAACCAGTAGCGTCTATTACTACGACTTTTGGCTTGATTTTATTCGTCGATTCACTCTGGGAATTCTGAATGACATTTACCAAATCGATATGTTGTAAGAGGACTGATGCTATGAGATTGAGAGTTATCTAAATAGTGAATGTATCAGGACCTTGTTCAATACATATTTTAATACACAATATGGCAATAACTTACCACTCGACTGCCTGTCGATTCATCTCCATCAGCAGCACTTAACCCTACTACGATTCCTCTCTCAAATCCTCTATTTGACTGAGCCTTACCGGCACAGAGAACATATTCGTCAATCTCCTGACATCCCGTTCTGATTCGTGCTGATCCATTACCTTGCTCATTGAACAGCGTCCGTTGCCGCTCTTCCAATTCAAGCAATTGATCTGCTGTTATTGGATGGGCTGGAGCTGGAGCTGGACGCAAGACTTCTGTCTGAGCCATGTGATCTATTTCAGCCATTTCGAGAATTCTCGGGAGGTGAATTGTCGTACATTGATAGGCGGAGAGTTGAGACGTATGGCCATTTCAAGAAATCATGTTATCACCCTGAATGCTCAATGAATAAGTTCTTCGGAATCATAGATCATCATACTTAAGTGAGTGCTTTCCATAATTGATAAAGTATATGAGTTGCTCTCATTCTTGGTAGTATTGCCGACGCGTTTGACAATCTCATGAGGTGAAGGTCTCAAATCCAATCACGACGGGCAAGTAAGAGTTCGTGTTTGAAAAGTTCGCGCGAGCACGTGACTCACATAGCCCGATTTCCTTCAACATCTCCTAGAATTTCATCTACTCTACCAACTAAGTAACGTTCTTCAATCTCACCAATCCTTCGAATTCAACATCTACTGGCGGGAATAAAAGAAAGGTAACCAGGAACAAAGCAAGCACAACCTTAGTTCTACCACCAACCCATCTTAAAATAACCATCTATACAAACAAAAGCGTGCAAAGTTCCACCAACTCGCATCTTCCGATTGCAAACCTAGCCAAGTAAGGAAAAGCAAAAAGCTGGGCAAATTTTCAGACTTACAACAAGACACTTTTTCTTCACTCTAGTTGGTTTGCAGAGTTCGTGTTTCCATTATCACGGGTAAAGCTTACGACGACATTTTCCTGTGTGCAAGTGGCACGTACGGGTGCGGATGTATATTTCCGGTTGGGGGGAGGCTTGGTATGGATAATGGGATGAAGGATTCGGGACCGAAGGTCTTGGGAATTTGGAAATTTGGAAAAAGGTTTTGCATAGCCTGAAATTATGTTCTTGAGATTTGTTCTCCAAATTGTTCTCATATATTCTTGGATGAAAGAATATCTTTCTGTATATTGGCAGTTTTCATTATAAGTGTTTGAAAACTATCATCTGGAATTCCTAAAAATCTCCTGGAATTCACAACATCACGATCTACAATCTGTACAACGGAGATATTCTCGTCGTTACTAGGGTACTCGGTATAGTAGACACAGGCCAAGTGCTCACTGCCTCTTGTACCTTGTTCGTCTTATTCTGCCTGCCTTTTTGGTCGGTTGCTGCATCATTCTATTATGTATTACCCTGCCTTCGCTACAGGTTCTGCAGGATTATCAAAGAAATAAACATGAGTGAGAGGTATAGCCGACATCGTCGATTTCGAAGAAAACGTACTTATCCTGGCCATTATGTAGCTATGTCTGTCTTGGCCTTTATGTGATAGGGCAGTACCGCTTGTCTTCTACTGCCCTCGCATCTCGAGACATCGTTCTCATTCTATTGTTTTTCACTTCATTGTTCTCAGATGAAGCCGTGGAAACATATCTCCGCCCCATTGGAGACGAGGGTTCTTTAGGTCGTTTAGACTTGGAAGGTAGAATGCACACGAGTTGTCGATTCAATATAATATCTTGCCAAGACCGCAACATTTGCATTACGACATTGCATTGGGACCAGTTATGTTCTCCGACATCCAGAAGAAAGGCTATGTTTCTCAGTTGAAATCACTTTCATATCGACTTACAATTGAGCTCGGCATTCAGTAATTTTGCTACCGAAAGGCATCGCTTTTCGAACAAAACCTTGTCCAACTTCCCTAGTCAAGAGAACAGCAAATCTATGGGTTTCTCATTCAAGGTTCTGAGTTCCAAACAGCTTCATGGTATGATAGGGAGTACTGTAACAAGGTGTCTGACCTACTATGGTGCGAACAGATGTGAACCAGGAGTAATGAGTGGTCTCGATACACCAATCTTTTTGGCCTCTCGTCGCCCTTCGAATCAAACCCACGAGACTCTATCAAATATCATGTCGATATCGACCGGAGAAATGTTCAACAGCAAATCCACAACTGGCCCTTTCTGTGCTGCTTCAATTATGGTATGACTCGAGACGCGAAGGTTGAAATACCGACCAGCTTCCATTTTACAAGACTACCAGTCTGACGCTGTCTGTTGATATATGAAGTATCTGTCATGGATCCCATATTACATGCTTCCACTACAATATATTAACGAGTTGATGGATTCTTCTATTATCGGTCATTCAAGCAGTATCAAACACTCGAGCTGATACAATTGTGGGCGTATCTTTCTTACTAGCAATCCAGTCATGGCCGAGTGGGAGTTGACATTTGCGAACTGTTATGGTCTCGAGTTCTGCAGATTCGGTATTCTCAAGTATTCCAGTTTGCTGCGGAAGCCCTGTCTCAAGGCAATCCTCGGTTTGAATTCTTCTGAAAGATATCCCAACACATTTTCCTCTCCCCCTTAGAGTGCTCATAGCGCAAACAATTCACACTCTAATCACCCAACTCTTTTCCTTCTTGTGTCAGTACTACACATTCGGGTATGCTAATCATAATACAGATAGCACATTCCCAATGATTGCGGCATGGGCCATCATACAGGACAATAGTATCCTTATGTCAAGCCCTCATTCTCCCTCCTTTTTTCTGATCCCGACCCTTCGATATCAACCTCATCCCCCTCTCTCTTCGGCTCTCATCTGATCGATCACAGTTTGTGTCCGTAAATATGCGTCCTAAAACAACGGTAAATGTATTACTCAGGCGACGAGGCAGCGGTGGAGGGTTTCTTATTTGCCAAGTCAGACTGCTACGACTCAATAGGTGTAAGCCCCAAAAAGAACCTCCGAGCCTGCATTCCATGAGCATCCATAACAACCTTTCAATAAATTCTGCCAGATACGATAATGCTTATCGATCAACTATGAGATTATGAACTAACCTTGGCACCTCCTACAATCTATTGCTCTTGATGGTGGTGAAAGAGCAAATTTAGTTAAACGACAATTGTGCTATCAATAGGTATCTGAAGGCGTCCACTATCCAATACCCGCAACATTTCAGAAGCTGCGATCTCTCATCCCGTAGTATTCAGTGTATTTCATGAGCGGCTATTATTTCATTTATCTTCCACCCTGGATACCAAAAGTCCGGAAGAAATGTTTAGATACATCCAGCTTCTGCCTTCTTCACTATACCGACACTACTCTCGATGCTACTAACTCATACATAACATCGCCTCCTAACTAATCCCAGATCTTTACATCTCCACGATCGCACCACCTTACACTCAAAATTAGCCGCACAAGTGGTGATGCATCACTCTCATTCTTGAGACCTCCTCTTTAGTTCAAATATTTTTAGGATCTTTCAACAGCCATACGCACATCACTCCGTGCTGTACCTCTCACGTTTAAATTGTAGTGAACGACCTCTGTTAATACATTACTGTATCCAATTCTTCACATAATCTCGAAGCTTATCTTCGATTCTATCTACGAAAGTGCAAAGTGCCAGTACAGTCTTCTCGCACTTGAATAGAAAATATTGTGAGGTTAAGGGTTCACTACAAAATTTGGAATCTTTTCTATGTTACGGATATGAATATAATTCTTGAGTCCCTTCGTTTCTCTAAGATGCAATCTATCAGCACTTGGCCCCCTTTCAGGCATCCCAGTGTCTTCCAAGCATTACTACAATATCGTTTCACGAGGAACCGACAGTTTCTTTCCAACTCGCATTCAATATACTCAATGCTGAGTGCCTGGTTTATCTTTGTCCATCTTGACTCAGCTACTCACCCTGGAAATCTCGTAATAATATTACTACTAGCCCTGGATAAACCACATATCTTTTTTGTGACCTACCCATCTAACAAAGTAGCATTGTTTCTCGGTACTTCACAATTACCTGATCTTTGAGATACATGGAAGAGTTGGCACTAGCATTTTACATTAAATTGGTACTACATACTTGAAGATTATTTACCTTCATTGATAATAACAAAATCTTTGCTCGAAGTCTGCCGTTAACAATACCGCCTGAATATTGCCCACTCCCACATCAAGCCACCGTTAAAGACCTTGCGCTCTTGTCAGATAATCTTGAAAGATTGTTCATTCCATCCATAAACCCTCTTCAATCGACTAGCAAACATGACCAACTTCCATCCTTCAATCTCCGACTTGTGGGGTCGGTGAAAGGTGATGGACTTCATACGACCTACATCCTTTGCCGGTGGAGAGAAAGTGTATACCGATCCGAATTTTGGAATGACAGAGAACCCCAAATCGACCATTGCAATTTCGAAAGAAATCCAGCTAACTGAACCACGAGCTTCAGACTTGGCGAACATGGTGGAGAAGACATGCGCCGTGTTTTTGTTGACTTTGAATACCTGAGGCAACTCCTCAGTTCCTGCTTGTGTAAGTTCAGTTTTATCTTGGGTAAGATCATAAGGAGAGACATTTATAGGTCGAGTCTTGTCTTTTTGTCTTCGTTGCTGAATGAGGATATCTCGACCCATAGTCTCGTAGGCGGGGTCTTCAAAGGTTTTAGGAGGCTTCTTCCTAATCTGTGCCACTCTGTCTTTCTGCTGCTCATAGTGAGTTTGAACCTGATAAACGCAATCGTCAACAAGATCCTGGTACAGAATTCCTGTCCTCGTGCCCATACGTTCCGCTGTAAATTGATCAAGAGCATCAATAGCACCTTCGGTCATTCCTGGTTCGAGAAGGTTTTCCATGGGTACTGCAAATTTCGAAAGATCAACCTCATGCTTTAATGGTTCAAGCTCGCCTAACAAGTTCTTGAGTCTTGATGCATATATCTGTCCTCTTCTAGAATTTTTTGCTGGCAGAGTAACGGTTTGCAGAAAGAATTTCAACAAATCTGACGATGACCGCCAGGTCATCAAAAGCGTCCAAAACACCATCATGCACTTCAGATAGCTCGATGGGATGAAGACGATAAAGATCTTCTAATTTCTTGATCCAAGGAAGTGCGTTGGTGACGTCAATTCCAGGGGAGCAGAGACGGAGCACGTAAGAAAGTTGTGGGTTCTCCCTGGTTAGAAGCTCTGGATCTTCCTTGAGTAATACGCGTGCAGATCCATTATCATACTTTCCTGAGACGCGTTTGAAGTACTTTGTACTTGTTCCCAAGGCTGCGTAGCGTTTCAAGACTTGCTGTACCCTACAAAACTCGAGATGAGCTACGTTTGATGCTTCCTGAAGCAAAATTGTACTGGCAATTTTATCGTCAGGCTTCTCTGCTAGAAGTTGAAGAAGGCGATGCATGTAATCCCAGGTTGCGGCCCCAGTCGCCATATTATGTATCAACTCGAAGATAGAAGTATTGATGTACTTATCGGCCAGCCAGGGGAGAATTCGTCCCCTCTCATCAGGTATAAGTTCCGGTCGACTGAAGTACCAGCCATTGGCCATATGTTCAAGAACAACTGATTCAGAGCAACACAAAACCAGATAATCGCTCACGGCGGTTTTTTGGTCGAGTGAGTTGTTGATTATGTCGTCTAGCGAAAGCTTCTCTTGACAGTCAACGATGGAAAGGCTTGAAAGAGCAGAAATAACGGTCTTATTTGACTTTTTTGGCCGTGGCTTCGTAGATTTAGTAGTAGATCCGGCATCCAGAATGTCCGCAACTAATACATTCAGGTGCATCAAGGTGTGCAGTTGTCTGGTGAGAACGAATTCGCCAACCTCTTGAGAAACAACAGCTCTCTTTTCAAACGCAAAGGCGAGTGTATGTGTAATTTCGCGATAGTTAGCAGCAGTGGTTGCTTTGTATGACTGACCATAGGTATCTTCGTCGTAAAACCTAGTTAAACAGTATTTGAAATCATGAATATGGCGAAGGTTCTTATCACGCATACTCTCCAAGATGAACATACAATCTCCTGGGCCATCATGAATACCCACTCTATATTGATGCAGGAGAGACGTTGTAGCTCGGTATCTCAGATAATCAAGTAGATGTTCAGGTTCTGTAGTTATGTCATGCAGATTCATTTCGGGGACTATTTTCCACGGGGCGCCTATTGATTGATCTTTTGAGTGCTTCAAGTATCCGTCCTCGACAACACCAACCTTGAAGACATTCACTCGCTGACTCTGATCAAAGCTTCGCCAAATCTGTTCGATTTTCGGTCCATGCAGCTTGTACTTTCTTGCAAGATCTGCATGCTGAGTCTTGGTGACTTGGGCGTGATCTGCCTCAGTTTCCATGGTCGGAGATGCGAGAAAGCTCGGTTTCAGGTGGCTGATTGTCGAAATTGAAGTCGAAGAGCAGAAACAAGTTACTTCCTTGTGTTTGTATGTAGTGCGGGGTATGGGACAATCGTACATTTAGCAACTTTTCCAAATACGGGAGGCACCAAATTAGTGGCAGGAGTGATTTGATTGTACTGCATCCGTTCAGGAGATTCTACAATTTGATGAGAAATGATGGGGTATAATTAACAAAAAAACTTCTTGTACACCCATGAAATATCTAGGAAATTACAGCGAATTCTCAATACAAAGAACTCACAATGATGAATTTATGTGCTTTCGAGGACGAATCACGAAACTATGCTCAACGAGAATTTAGAAATACTCAAAGCAACATTCGTCTTACCGTAATTGTGCATCAAGCTCAGGCGCGTACTTGATTGCCCCTTTGTGAAATTTCAAGCCATGCCTCTTCCCTACGATATTTGACGGGTTTTGGGCTCTGGAGCATCTCCATCTGTGTTGTTGCAATACCAATTTGTTAGATTCGAAGCATTCCCTCGACTCAATTTGCTCGTAGGGTCGCCAAATGAAAAGGGAAGACTCCATGGATGATTGATTGAGGAAGGAGTCAGGCAGGTTGGCTACCTTCAGAGTTCGACCAAAAACGGGTGATCGCGATACTTTTTCACGTGAAACTCTGTAGTGCTGACACGTGATCATTCATTGCGCACCAACTGTCCTTGTATGATCCGGCTTTAGTATAAGGTAGAAGCGGGAGAGCAACGCAATGAGCTTAATTCTGAGAATGCATAGAAAAGATTGTGTATGTGAGGTACATATAAGTTCTCAATGTCTCGCTTCCATTGTGGGAAGAGGGGGGGGAAAGGGTGGCAAGGAGTTACCTCAGAGCAATCATATATACACTGATACCTATTGAGATATTTGTTGATCTGCCGATTTTGTGTCAAAAGATGGATAGCAATGACTTCTTTCGAGAACCGCTATATACTTAATATACCTTCCTTGGCGTATAAGAGCACTCACCACCTATACAGATGTTCTGGATTCCAAAGTCTTACCGTTTCTAGTAGTAAGTATCCATGGACCGATCTAGTTGGAAATATGTGAGAATGCCACGACTTCACTCTGTGTAACAGGTCGAGACTGCAAGTTCCTTTTCCTCGCACACAGTTATCCGCCATCTCCTCCTCTTCATTTGCATTTGCATAGATTGAATATCGTTGTTGTTGTTGTATATTGCATGTTGGATTGTTAATTTTGGCTGATGATCATGATTGACGAGGCTGTAGAATTTCCCCACACAAATGCTCGCTTAAAAATGGAAATTCTTGGCACACACAATGAGCGCTGAGGTCCTTCAACACACGACGACGAGTTTGATTACATAGGAAAGTCAAATCTTTACAACTGTACGTATAACATCAAAAATACATCCGATCGCTGCGAACCTTTCTGCCGGACAGATACCTCGAATTGTTGACTGACGATTTTTGCTCGCCATAGAACAACCTCCACTTCCTCATTTAATACCTCCCCTCAATTCTCGACGAAGGTCAAACTATAGCAATCATGGATATGGAAAAGTTGAAGAGAATGCAGGCCAGAGGTGGTGTCAGAACTGGTGAGTCTAACTCCGACGAATACCGCAGAAGACGCGAGTGGCAGAAAGATTGAAAAGCTTGAGATGGGACTTTTTGAAGGATGGAGGGGTTGGAATGCCAGCTGGCTGTGCTATACAATTCTTACCGGTATTTGAACGATTAGAAGCTAACATGTGGCCGAAGGGTATGTGATAGAATCCTCATCCTCATGCGATTTATGATCTACGAACGCGATTTCCAAGCTCTACGACTGAGGAAAGCGCATAGCGGGGTAGCATCGGCATGCTAACAAATACAATAGTGGAAAGGGTACACCAAGAAGAAAGGTTAAGAATGTTCACAAGAGCACCGGAATGGACGACAAGAAGCTACAGACCTCCCTCAAGAAGCTTAACGTTCAACCTATCCAAGCTATCGAGGAGGTAAACATGTTCAAGTCCGACGGAAATGTTATCCACTTCGCCGCACCAAAGGGTACTTTCACCTCACAATACGAGCTCCTGGAATTATACTAACCTTTCAATGAATAGTTCACGCTGCTGTTCCATCCAACACCTTCGCCATCTACGGTAACGGCGAAGATAAGGAGCTCACCGAGCTCGTCCCAGGTATCCTCAACCAGCTCGGCCCAGATTCCTTAGCTTCCCTCCGCAAGCTTGCCGAGAGCTACCAATCCATGCAAAAGGCTGAGGGTGGTGAAGACAAGAAGGACGATGATGAGGATGATGATGATATCCCAGATTTGGTCGAGGGTGAGAACTTTGAGGACAAGGTCGAATAAATTTCCCGCACGCAAGGCAAAGTCGATTAGGAATGATATTAGAGAACTGGTGACAGCATTGATATGGGAATGATCATAATCCTCTCTTTGGCTATGTTATGGTACCTCGCTGCATGAATATAATGTTTCAGGTAGTCCGAAGGTTACTTAGCTGTACAAAATCATACTACACATTAAGTCCTTCTATATTACAATATCTTCCTTATGGGACCAAAAACATCAAGATTCTAGCGTGTTCATTTGAAGGACGACAGGATCTCACTTTTCCTTCGGGTCAACAAATCACATCCAGACGACTTAACGGAGAAGGCACGTGTGTTTTGAATAAGTGATACTTTGCAATCTTTGGTGTTTCTACAAGGTATCTGGGCTACCTTCGGAGCCGCGCGACGCTGTTTCAAGGAAACGATCATCAAATTTCTCTCATATTATCATACAGAAACTTGTGGTTGTAAAATCAACAAGATCCCACATCCCACTTGGTTTTAGCTAATAATATGCGCCAGGAATGACTGAATAGTGCCCCTTTTCAATGCCTTTTAAGTTTCTCGTGCCTAGTCTATGCTCTTCACATTTTCACTTACTTTATTGCTCCTGTCCACTTTTCTCATCTTCCCATTCTTCTGATCACCACTTTGAGTTTTGACATCTTCAGATCCATCTGATACCTTGCTACTCGCTTCCGCGATCTTTATCGTCATTGGACCCGGACCATCACCAACTTGAATCGGTCTCATGTCTGCCGGATCTCGTTCTGACTTCTTGCCTCCCTCTTCCTTTCTATTTCTCTTAATTCTAGCTCCAAGGCTCAACTCTCACGCCCTCTCTTGCCAGGTCGTTTCTCTCCTTCCCATGCTTCCCAGCTCTTCTTTCTCTCTCGATTCTCCATCTTTCTCTCGCTCATGACCCATCACCCCAGAAAATGTGACCCTCTTCACATCACTCCCTCCATACAGCCCCGGCCCTAATGCAGCTCCACACGTACAATCCTTCATAGAATTAATAGTGCTACTCATGTTGCCGATCTCTTCTTCATACTTCTTGGTGCATTTCTTCGTGGCGCATACTTGGTAAGTACTGTTTAGACTGAGAATGAGGGAGAAAGAGGTTAGGATCTTATGGGTGTGGCGGAGAATACAGGGGTAGTGGGAGAGGAGCTGGGTAAGTGAGGGCATGTTGCTTGGAGAGTGGAGTGGTGGTGGGAGATAAGTCGTAGTGGGGCTGGACGGACTGTAGAGTGAGACGATGAGATATCGGGAGGTAGAGTCGATGTGTTTGAATTACTAGATGGTCAATGTGGAAGAGGGGCGTCTAGTGATGGGCTGATATATACACATCTGCTGATGAGAAGAAGGACCTACAATCAAATCTCCTTAATTGACGGGCAAAAAGCCATGTTCCAGAGACACAATACCCCCCTTTTTACTCCTTTCATTTTCTCTCCTTGATTGTACCAGAGATCTCAGTCTATCTTTCACCAACCTATGTTACCATAGCCTCAAAGTGGTTCATTATATAAAAGAGACAATTGAAAGGACATTCAATACAACCAGTTTCGATCGGAGGATCTCACGATGTTTTGATAATACAATTGTCTACTGCTTTCTTTGAAATTGTGCTAGCTCACTATCACCACATTTTACAAAAAAGCTTTCACCGACTTCTTAATCGCTCTTTGTGACGTTTCAGCAAACATAGCAGGAAACCTCACATAGATTAACTAGTAAGTTCGTTAGTATAGAACCCCCCTTCTCGTGTCTTTTTTCTAAAGTTGTGGTTGAACGGCATGCCACCAAGATGTGAAGACTATTCCTCTTTCTCATTCAGGACCTCAGATAGCTTGTCATTACTAAATTTGTTGAGGCTAGTTGAAGTAAAGTGAAGGATAAAAACGATTCGAAAGTCTTTAGAGAATTGATTTTGGAAAATGATTGAAAGATGAAAATGCGAAATGGGTCCGATGTCAATCAATGAGACACAATTTTTCAGTATCGTACCTATTCAAATTGGACGACGCGCAGAAAGATGAACATCTTGGATTCGAAGGGCAAGAAAGTTTAGATGATAAAGATAGTATTTGTTGTGACTGTTTGCACTGGCTTTTGGTTATGGAGTTTGAGTTGGGCCAATACACGTGATAGATGGGTGTCTTAAATTGAATGACTCCCTTCTTTTGACCCGTGTAAATGAGGTGTTGCTTCCTTGGCTTGAGTGAAAAAGTTGGTATATGAAGGTGGTGTATCCCGTCCATTTCTGGGTTCGAGCAAGGATACATATAAGCAGCATATTTTGATTTTCTTATGGAGAGTGGGGAAATGGCTCAGATGATGCATCTCATGGTGTTCCTCAGAACGAGAGAATGGCCTCATAATTAGCCAGCGCTTATGATAAGAACTTTAGAAATAGGGCCACATTAGTTACACATATGGCGGGACCTTGTCACTCGTGGCATTTTCAGATTCAGGACGAAGGACTAGTATGTAGGGGCATCTGTATCAGCATTTCCATGGGTGGTGAGATGACTTTGGGTGCCTCTTTTGGTGTTCTCGAGAGAAAAATGGTGTTACATATCGACGGCATCTTTTGTTGTACTTGAGGGTACTTCAAGTCCGTCTGTATGGTGTGCTGCTTGGAAGAATTGATGTGTAATAAATGTCATAAATGGCCTTCAATGATTCTTTGCCTTCCCCGTCACCAACTTTAATGCGTTCTCCTTCCAGCCTGCGGCTCCGCCGTTTGTATCAACAAATTTTCGTACGTCGATATCTTCATAATTTAGTTTTCTTCTTCGTCCGATTAGAGCCGCATTTCTTGTACTCGGTATTCGTAGCCATTCCTTTTCCACTTCCCATCCACATCCTTCAGCGAGCCCCGCGACCCATGCAACAAGAGAAGCGTACGCCGAGGGTGTACCTCCAGATCCTTTAGGTGGTGGCGCCCGGCATCTTGCACCACTGAGAGCATGACTACAACATGGAATCATCATAAATGGTGATTGAGAAATGTTCGCAAGGATAGGTGTCCATGGAGTTAGCTCATCAGCGTGATTTGAGATAATGAATGTTCCTTTGGGGAAATTTCCGTCGTGAACATCAGGTCCCGAAGTTTCATTTTCATTTGACTCTGAATATAGAATTGAAGGTATCAAAACAAGTTCTTGTAACTTCTCTCGTGTTTTTGGCCCGAACACACTCCATGATTTCCTTTCTCTTGCATCAAATCCCCATCCTTTGTAACCTTCTTCGGATAAAATATGAACAAGAAGTCCATTTCCACATCCAATGTCAACATAGCCTGGAAATTCGGTATCTTTATAAGTATCGGCCCAAAGTTCAATGAGAAACGCTGCAATGTTCAGATCTTCGAAAACATGCTTTTCTGGATCTGTGGCTTCAGCCCAGTTCTCAATCAAAGTCTTTGCATACTTGGCCTTGAGACGAGCATAAGTATTCTGAACAGTAGCTTGAGGTATGATGGTGTCATGATGGACTTTTTTGACATATCCTGCAGCAGTTCCTTGTCCGTGCTTATATAGAGCAGCTAGTAAATGTTCAGCTGTTCTTTCAAGTTTCTGAGTACGAGGTTCGGACTCGAAGAATGCATAGTGTATTGCAATGGTTGCATCCTGTGTCTCAGGATCGAATATATGCTGGAAAGCAATTCCGTAAACTCCAGGGTGATAAAATGGTGATTCATCAGGTGATGATATATGCGGGAGATAAATAACCAGAGATTGAACTTCCCCAGCATCTGTAGTGTTCGCATAGAAAAGACATGTTTGATCGAGTGGCTTATCTTTTAAGATGTTTCTAGGTATCATAGTTCTTACCATAACTTTCTGTAGAGTATAGTTGCGGAACTGAATAATCCTCGCTGGAATTGTAGTATCATTTTGGAAATTTTCATTGAATGACTGCTCTAAAGAGATATCGGCTCGAAACAGATGATTGGAATTGATATTTGGATTTCGAATTAAATTCAGCATGACTTGCGAAAAGATCTCCGGTGGAAATGAACATTTATGCTGAAATAAAGGTGTCCAACCAGGACTCCTTTCCTGGGTAATATCTTCAAGTATTTCCGAGGACCCAGGAGGGTACGGCTCTGGAGTAAACGGGACCTTCACGAGAGTCATAGTCGCCGTTGATGATGGATTTGTAAATGAAAGGAAAGGTTGGCCCTTCTGGATAGCGCGAGGATGTGAACGATTGAGGCAGATCACGTGATTACAGGTATCTTGGTTTTGGGTTGCTATACCTGCTAGGAGTCGACAAAACACTTCAATGGAGGGTCCAAACTACAGGAGTACTCCTATTATTTCTCTTGAAATTGGTTTGGATTTGCATGAAGTCAAGATAAACGTCTTCAGAAAGCAAGGCTGACAATAATGTCGAGGCTGTGGACAAGGCTCAGAGCAATTTAACTAGGGCCAAATTAGCGAGATCTTAGCGCTCGCACGCAAATCGCAAACCAAAAAATTAAGAGTCTAACGAATTCGGCATTTTGCGATCTTATTGAATTTCCTGCCCACGACTCCGCAGGAAACAGCAAACACACGACAACCACGCCAAACCGTCGACATCATGCGTACTTACGAAGATTCCTTCTCCGGAGCCAAGATCTACCCTGGAAAGGTACGAGTGTTGCCCCTTTAAATGATTATGGATTGTGGTCGACATATGGATGATTGGATTGAAGGGGGAGAAAGGCAAATTGTTGGGCTACGACTGTGCAGATTTGGGAATTACATCAAAGGCGCATAAGGATTGCGTATCGAAGAATTCAATGCTAATTACTTTTGGAATCATATAGGGCAAGCTCTACATCCGTGGAGACTCCAAGATCTTCCGTTTCCAAAACGGTAAATCCGAATCTTTGTTCTTGCAACGCAAGAACCCTCGCCGAATTGCATGGACCGTCCTCTTCAGAAGACAACACAAGAAGGGTATCTCTGAGGTACGATATTACAATCTACTTCGCGGCTTTATTCACATCGAGATGGAATGAATGACATCATGGGATATTCGGAAGAACAAAAATACTGATGCAGTTTTCACCATACAGGAAGTCGCCAAGAAGCGTTCCCGCAAGACCGTCAAGTCCCAAAGAGCCATCGTCGGTGCTTCCCTCGATGTCATCAAGGAGCGAAGAAACCAGAGACCAGAAGCCAGATCCGCTGCTCGAGAGTCCGCCATCAAGGCCGCTAAGGAGAAGCGTGCCGCAGAGCAAGCCGCCAAGAAGGCCACAAAGGCAAAGACCAATGTCTCCACCCAATCGAAAGTCAGCAAGCAAGGTTCCAAGGGTAAGGCACCAAAGCCAATGAACACTAGCCGTTAAATGTTTTGTTCATGGTTGTCGCGGTGCAATGGAAGGGAAATTGGGTTGTTGTTGTTAACGAAATGAACGAATAATCTTCGAAAGTTTCGGGGAGATTTTTCAATCAAGCATGGATGAGCAAAATGGGCTTTCTGCGTGATCTTGATCAATAGCATTTACAATGACAAGACTGGTACAAACAACGATGGTTAGGAAGGATATCCAATTTAGTGCAATGCGGTGCGATGTTTGTGATGCATATGTATTCGCATTCTGCCAAGTTTCAGAACTTGGGAGATTCTTTTACGGACAAATGGAGTCATTTGGTTTTCTGGGCCTACGAAAGACCTAGCATTTTTATAATACTACCAATTCCACCGGAAATGCATCGATCTGAGGGGATTCTTGATTGTGGTTTTATTGTTTCCCTGTTCTTTCTCTTCCGCTAACAATTCCCATCCTAACTATTCTCTTCCTCTATTGCTAAACACCAGGGGCTTTCGAATTTCCACCTAAAGCTCGATTCCAGTCTTTCCGATACGAAACGTACAATATGCTCACTACCACATCAAGACATTCCCACTCAAACGGTCGCAGAGTTCCCTGGATATTGCGTTTCTTTCAGTTACCCTCTCTATTCATTCCCAATTTTGACCATAGCCCGCTTCAAGACATAAGATATTTTACATGCCCTTACCCAAAGAACCTAATTTCAGTGACGCCTTTTATCTCATCTCGCTTACATTCCCATTTCCCTGGACTTTATCCCACATCATTAACCGACGTTGCCTTTCACCAAAGATGCCATGAATACCTAGTTGAATTGAGTTTTCTTTGTTGTGTTTATGCTGCTTATTCAGTTACCCTAGGCTAGGCGTGTGAAGTAGAGGAGCACATGAAGGCGGTGTTTGGGAGCATCGGTGGGTGGTACTTAGGGTAATGGAATGGCAAACGGCGGCAAGTACCAGCGCCAGTTTCCAGACTACCTTTTGCAACGCTTTTTGATTACACGGCGCCGGGTATCTCCTGAAGGGCCTCGATGAATTGAGGTTTGGAATTTGGAATTTTGAGTCTCGGTCTAGGCTTGCACGGCGTGATTGTGTTACACATTTAAACAATATATCTATTAGATGAATGTTCCAGCAAAAGAAATCAATACAACCCAGCTCTACAATTATCTTTCCCAAGTTCCTATGTTGTCTTCGACAGCAATGATCTGTCTAAAAAGGTAGCTCATAAAAATCCATACTTGGTTGTGGCAGAAATCTCATTCTTGTCAGGATACCAGAAACCGGAAGAAGTTCGATTGGGTAGTATGAATCCTTTACTTTCACCTCATCTCCCCACCTTGCGCTTTCCAGCCCGAATAGTCTAATCTGGCCTGACTCTTCACTCAATTACACAACCCGCATCGAGTATATAGATAGATAGCTAGCTCAATATATCAACCTCGAGACAAACTTTTGATCTGGCACAAAAGCCGATGAGAGGTAAAATTTTCTAGAGAGCTTGCAACAGATATCGATCGATATGAGTCCGAAGACTTCCCGTAAACTATACGTAAATTCAATATCAGATGCAGTCTAATAATATACTTAGATCACTTGAGGGATTCATTGGTATGTATCTGCGAGTCCAAATAACAAAGATATCTTGATTGCTGACTATATATGATGTACCCGGCACTGGATAGATATATGTTATGATCAGTTTTCGCGAGCACTAATATGCTCATACTTGTGATTAAAGTATTCCTTTTAACTCTGATCCTGCCGTTAAGTGTTGCTTTACAATGTTTGTTATTGGCCAGCCATGATTGGCTAAACTGACAAGTGTGATCAACCAAGTCGATTATTCCCCTTTGATCTTGTGGTATGATGGCCGAAGAAGCTGGTTTCTGCCAGCTTTTAAGCATCCAAGGAGCTCCTTCTAATACATCACCGTCATGTTCGTCTTTCAACCATAGACCTAGAGTTTGAATAGCTTAGGTAGAGATTTCAATGCCCAGTCGACGTCCTGGAGGATCTTCTTGAATATAGACTGGGCTAGGTGGTCCATGGTAAGTGTATGCGTACCTGTTGTTACACTGTCTTATTTCGATGTGTCGTAATGTGTGTTCTGTGCTAAATACAGACTCGAATTTGTAAAATCGCACTAGATATAAAATAAGGGGGGTTCTTCGAGGCAATGACAATGAAGATTCGCTTGCCTAAAATAAGCATGAAGGGGTTTCGGTTTTGCGATCCAGAGACCATCGTTGAAACTCATAATGGCAGAATCTCTCCACATATGACTAGTTGGGAACGATAGGCTTTAAGCGCTGCTTGTTTCAATTGAAGTTCGCTTCTGTTTCCCGTGTTCGTTTGCGAAGGTGTTGACGCAGTATTGTTCTATTGCCCTATTTTCTTACACCAACCCCCTCCCAACTGTATCTGAATATAGTTTCGAGCTCGTATAATCGCTGATTGGCCGATATAGTGATGGTGTGCGGGTGAGGATAGCTCGTGGTACTGGAGTAATAACGTCTGTTAGCTAAGAAAGACGAAGGTTGACTATTTGACAAAGAATTGAGTATGTCTGGAACTATCTGCAAAACCTTAGAGAGTCACAGTATAAAAGGAAAGGATGCTACTTGATGTTGAGAATAAAGCGGAGCGCAATTTTGCTAATATAAACTTGAACAAGATGATTGACGTTGAAGAATGTAGGTCCAAATACTCTTCTTTTCCTCCCCCAAAAAGCTTTGTCTGGCAAGGCAATGTTGAATAGGTAAACCAACAATGCGAAGAAATCGCAACAACCTGTTTCCTTCAGGTGAGTGGACACATGGTCGAGTAGTCAACTGAACGGAAGGCAGCAGAGCAATGCCTAGATTGCCGTCTTCTGGTGGGGAAATTACTCAATATCTGTTCGAATGAATCTTTGAGCCCCTATAAATAGTCTTTAAGCGTGTTGTAAAGACGCTCAGATATGTCGTTTGAGAAATAGAAAGGATCAGACCGACGAGCAGCCTATAAAGAATAATCTGTGCTGTGTGCATGATTTCTGGTAATCCCCTCGCAATACGATGTTACTCTCCCAGCACCTTGTACAAAGAGGTTAGTACAAATTCATTATGAAGTGAGTGGGCTGATAAAAGAGACCCACGAGGGGCTTTACTTAGCCTTACAGAAGACAATCATAATAGAGTGAGTCAAAATGAGGCAATCTCAGTGAATATGTCTTTCGAGGGGGGTTGTTGTTGTTTCCAAATGCAAATTGAGCCCAGCATGTTTAATAGTTCATTCTATCTCAAGACATCTTTATCGAGAATAAATTTCACCTGCATCAAACAGTTTATGAGCTTTATTTCTCTTTAATTGTCTTATAACTGAATTATTGGGATAACATTCTTTCTGCAGAGCTTCATCGACTTTCAACCATCAAGCCACTATCGAGAACGAGGTCTTGACAATGGAGGAAACCATAGACCATGAATCTGCCCCTGTTGTTGCGGTCTTTCTCCCCAAGCACTTCAACAAGTTTGGCTACTATGAGCTGGTAACTATTATGGAGGCTGTCTGGGAGAAGAAATGGGGAGTTTTGTGCTTTCCCCTGGTTCCCAGTATTATTCGAGCCTTGCATAATGATACAGACTCGAGAGCCTATTGGTGTATGGTAGATATATTCTTCAATTATGCCCACAAAGATATTCTCAATTCTGAAAACGCCCACATTTTTACTTTACACCGCAGATCGGGGCGAGCGAACGTGGGATTCTTCGGTGGATTTTGGAGAATGCAAACCCCACAATTGAAAATTCGTACACTTAGCATATCCTTCAAGTAAGGTTACCCAAGGGCACCTTGTATTTTCAGATCTCAAAGGCTAAATGCGATATAGAGGATGCGCGGATAAGATGCTACCAGTAAACCTAAGGGACTATATGACCTTTGGTCCACGATTTAAGTTGACTAGGGATTTTGGCGAGCTCGTGGCACGATTGGAAACCTTGACTATCAAGAGGGAAAGATTTACACATGCGAGCAAGGAATTTCAGTTTTGTTGCATTTGAATATTTTGAGAAAGTATGGAAACCTTAACATCTCCCTTTGCGACACTTCAGAATCTAGGCTAACCACAGAACTTATCGCTTCTAGATCCGTTAATCTGCGACAATTTGTCATCAAATACAGCTGGATTACTGCCGAGAATATCGATTACCTAGTGGATGTGGATAGGTCGCATAGTAGACTCATAAAAAGGTTGGATAGACTTCTCGGTGTTGGCGGCGAAAGAACTATTGATCGAGAGCCGCTTACCCAAGAAGGGGCCACAAGAGTAAAAGTTAGCTTCACATGGACAGCGATTGAGGACGAGGTCCTGAGTGCAAGCAACGTCACTAAAAGTGACATGAAGAAATGGGTGTCCAGTTTTACACGGAAGAGAAAGGATGAGTGTTGTTATGAGTTATAGATGTTATGACTCTGCTAGCGTGGGAGTGGCTCTACGAGCAACGATTATTACTTGGTCAATACGCTTTTTTCTTCGAAGCAGCAAAGCTTCCTATTTGCTGCTGCAACAGATCTGGAATCCAGGAAGGTTTCATACAATTATCAGTATCATAACCGCATCATCTACTTCAAAAAGACACGAATTTGTATTTTTTCTAGATCGCTTTTTAGGTAAAAACCAATTATCAATTTTTAATCTCATATCACTTAACCTTAATATCAATATCTAACAAAAAACGTAATTTACAATGCTCTTCTCTTGTTGATCTCCCTAATTTCACTCGACTATCATGATTCATTATGGTATTCTAGTTGCCTGTCTAATGATGCCAAAATATCAAATTGAATTATGGAGGGAAAATTACTCCCAATCTGGTGAGCTTTTGTTAGTGGCTCTCAACGGCTGGGAGACCGAGGCTGGTAGAATATATTGATTAAAACAATGAGGTGTTAAGTGCTTTGACAATGCTTTCATTAGGTTGGGTGAGCAAATTAGGGTTCCTGAAAGAGTTGTAGTGAATAATTCTGTTGTCAGAGCCTGTGATTGGTTCGGATCTGGAGCTGAGTAATTCTAAAAGTTGGTTTTAGATTCAGGGGGGACATTTCTCCCCCTTGTTGGACTAAAAATTCATGAAAATTCATGACAGCTTTGATTTGTCACACTGCCTTTACCTCAAGCACTCGGTCCTTTATTTCCAACCCTTCGAGCCTCGATCAGTGACCTACCACAAAGTAGAACAAAATCGCAATGGAGCCCGCAAAGAAGGACCCTAACCGCGAGCTATTGGCAAAATATGGTCATCTAAAGCCATCGTTCATCAGCAAGTTACCTCACGTCGTAATCTTGATGATCATAGAGCTTGTCTTGACACATGATAATATGTGTTTCCCGGATGCCCCCAATATCATCGAAGCTTTCGAAACCGAAGCAGAAATGGTGACCCTCTTGTATTCCGTCGATTACTTCACCAAAAATGTCCGAAAAGCCAGGCTGGACCATGATTCTGTTGACAAGTTCCCTCAGTTGGCTCTCGAAGAATTTCTTAAGGGAAAAGGCTTTGAAAACAAACCTCGGCCACAATTTGTTTGCGAGCCCTTCGGACTTGGAAGACATTTCGTTGTGTTGAATATCACACATCTTGATTTGAGCTTGAGGTAAACACTTCTAGCATCAACTTAGCTAAATCAGCACATGACGAACTAACATCTGTCAGTGAGACCAACACAAAAGCATTGGCAGCCAAATTGAAGAAGCATATGATGATAGGCAAGACATACGAGTTGAATCAATACTTCGTTTATCTTGCGGGTCAGCTGAAGGACTTGCGTGTCACTAGAGGGCTGTTCACCCGCCAGACCACAAGATTTCAGGTCTCTTTAATTTTGCAGTTTTTAAGACAGTAAGCAAGCAAATCAACGTGCCTGTAGAACCTATTTCGTGATCTACGCTAACCAGGATATCGCTTGCTTTTAGTGCCAAAAAGCTCCTCAAGTTTGTTGTTATCGATATCCCCTCCAATAATAAGGCATTTATGAAGGACTCCGACGACACTCTGTGTAAGCTCATGGGTGGCGTCAGTCTCATCTTTGGTGCCCCTTCCAAGAGAACCTATATCGAGGGCAATGGAGTACATTCAGATGACGTTGTTACCGAAGCGATATTCACATGGGAGGCGGCCGGAGGCTTGAAGATGAATGTTCCCAAGATCAATAACATCATGAAATCAGTCTCAAAGAAGAGCGGGACAAAAGCAGAAATACCACGGAGTCTTCGAAGACACTTCGGAGAAACATTGGCACGAGTGCGTCAAGCGAGTCTGTGGGTATAAAGGAAAGAAACCATGCATTCAGTGCAATTTTGCGGTCTGTTACAAATGTGGACTTTAGTTATGTCAACTAGAAGTGGTACTCTAGATTGGACATGGCTCTTTGGTGGTAGTCTCAGGATTGATCCATTTGTTGTCAGGGTTGTTGCAACATAGTCATGAATACAGATTCTAGCTTCTCTGGGATAACCTGCGTACGATAGAAGCATCCTATAATATAGCTTCATGGATACCTATCCCTTTGATTTAGTACGACTCTTATCTCTAAGCCTTACTGCCATACCTCATATCGATAAGAATACTCCATACCTCTCATCCTCGTGTCTTTTTTTGTAAAATGGTATTCCTGAAGCTCTTAGCCCAAGTAACAGCCCATAAATCACCACCCTAATCTGTCTTAGATGAGTGTGCACATTTTATCTTTCTGTAAGTAAACAACTGATGACACAGGAGGTGTCTAATGAGAGTCTATTGTATGAGTTTATGGCTGAAGTGCTTATATTTGATATCTGTAAGCTGCAGAAAGTCGATGACAGCATCAACATATGAAGTAAACCTTTCCAATGTTGAAATATCTCGAACTAAGGCCACCCGACGATATTAGCTATTAGACACAGCCTGAGCTTGTAACCAGAACATTATCATACAATATATCATCTCTTTTGAGATAATCCTAAACCAAAAGCCACTAATTTCTATAGACTAAACTGCTACACACAAGCCGAAATCATGTTGTTGAAGGGTATTAAATTGTCAACTTGCCACCTATCACCTGTCAGATGCATACCATTGTGATTCCTTCTTTACTTCCTTTGTGTACAAAAACGTCTATGTAACAAGCTAATTAGCTTCGAAAAGATTGTTCTATAATGTAAGACTGTTATTTTGACACTTAGAAGCCACAGAGACTTGGCCACAGTATCGAGTCAGGAAATCAACTTTCTGTTACTTGAAGTGTCTCGAATGAGACTACCCGACGATATCACCTAGTATTCAGAGCTCAGGAAGATTACAAATCTAGACTACTGATTAAAACGAAGAGAATAAAGAAAGACAGATTGTTTTGTATACTTTATATACATATGCTTTGTCAAACTCTCTTCCCTTGCTCCTTAGACTTCTATTGATCGTCCACAAGCAATTTTTAATGCTGTGTTGAAGCACCTAATAGACCTATACCATCATTTCAAGATCTCTCAAAATCTTGAGCCAATTCTCTCGCGTCATCACGATAGTTTTTGTAAGCATGCCGACACAATGAGAAATCCAAGAAGGCTCGTTGTCGCTCCTCATTGGTATCAATATGCTAGAGCGCAAATGCACTCTTCGCATGCAACTCAAGTATTATGAACTTCATTCTCACAGTGTTCCTGTATGTATTAAATCTCGCTCGCCGTGGGAACCCAGTCGTCATGGATGCTTTCCATGCGAGGCGAAGTTGGATTAACTGGTGAACCCTGGATCTGCGAAATTTGTAGAAACCACTACGCAAAGGTTGATTTTGAATGGTACGTTAATTTTTGATGGCTAGAACGATCTTATCTAACTACTTCGACCGTACTCTGAATAATTTCAAACGTCATTTCGAAGTGCCGATTCTCTGCACACGCATTTCGTCAATTCAGGTGATGGATCAGTGGTATAGTCGTCGCTAGTATTTTCTTCCGAGATTCTTTGTCTCTCTGTGCCCCGTCACATTGAGCGTATATTTCACTTTTCACATAAATAATATTAGCTTTAAAGACTCAACACAACTCTCGAATAGACTTAGACCGAAAAATAGCGGGAACCTTTTGAACTTCCCACAAGACTTAGTGGCAGAGGTACTCGAAGATATTTCCAGGTCTTGTCATGACCAACTGGTCCAGTCCGTCGTCTATCTCAGGTCCCAAATCTCAATGTACCTTAATTCACTCGGTCAAATGATTGACTCCCTTGCCCTTGAACGCATACGGTATCTAACCCATCACATCTACCCAAGTCCCTTCCGCAGCTGCAACCCCACTACTCTGTTAGTGATTAAACCCGTGAATTACCTCCTGCATTCTGATCTTCCAACCTCAAAGAACAATATGCGTTATCAATCAATCTTCTGCTACAGAAAACTTCAAGAAGGGCCAACTATATAGTGATTATCCTTCTCGACATACCTCCGGCGAAACAGATGATGTCACTTTCTTCTGTAGATGTATCTATGATCAGCAACGATGACACGCGGCGGTCATCGATGCGCTTCATCTTTTTCAAATCTGTTTGATTACAAGCGAGAGATAATATGACTGCGGGCTTTGGTATTGTAAGAGCTTTCGCCATTAAGAATTGTCATGCTTTCGTGATTCCTGTTTTAATAGGTCAAAAACATCAACATCAGTCCTCAACCCTAACATTCTTGCGGGACTAGCCGTTACGAAGACATGCTTGCAGACTATGGGTATATATAACGAGACTCCAGTCATAGCGCAGTTGTATCCACATCCTCAACTTCAACATCGTCTAACCACCAATATGACTTTCCCAACCGATAGCTTCGGATTCCACGGCCAAGTCCTAAACCATGCCAGATTTCCGCAGAGGTACATAATTCACCTGCAAGTTTTCAGTTCCTGCAGTTTAAACTCCCGACATCCCACTTACACTTCCAGATTCCTGAGACCGGGTCCCATATATCTTCAGCCATAATGATTTTACTACCGTCATATTGAAGTTTTTCTGGATATCCTAGCACCCTCGTATTCCTGACCCTGATGGTGGGTATAGCTCTAGGAAGTTAATCTGAGTGCACAGAGCCCACAGATGTATTGAGAGGAATATCGGTATCAATATATATCTCTGTGGCATTGATAAGCCTTTTAATTCTCCCAAGCTCTTCTCAGAATCTTCCATCACCTGCAACGTAAAACTATCGTCTGGTATCTATAAATCACGTTTGAACCCTCCTATGCAACCTAATCTCACCATTTAACTAATAACACATGCACTGCTTTCTCATGTTTCTACCAGCTGTCTAACACCTGTCCAATCTGCCCCCTGTCGCCTAAGAATGTCAGTTCGGCGCTCCCACACAAGGAGAGCCATCAAACACCCCGTTCTTCCTTCTTCTATCAAAACTGACCATTTGATAACCAAAGAAAGTTGCCATGGGTTACAAAAGCGAGACGAGGCTAGCAGAAGAAGCAAGACTTGATGTACGGAGGTATATGGAATAAGTTATGTTACACTGCTTGTGTTTTGCCATGAATAGAAGAATCATTCTTCCCACACAAACTGATCCTGGCTAGCGAAAGCGGTACAACATAAGTTGTTCGATATACCTCCGTAATATTTTTCATTGATTTGCTTGCCAATGAAATGTCTTAAATATTGCGGATTGAGTGTCAGGAATGGGGTGGTAGAGAACCCTTTTACATCCCCAGTCTCATAGCTTTACTGCTCCTTTGTCCTCGAAGCCCCGGCCTCAGAGCCATCTTCCTCATCTCCAACACTAGCACAAGCAAGTGCTTCCATTCACAATTCCTCTTCGAATCCACGTCGATCACTATAACCTCTCACACTGAAGGGGCTTCTCATGCACAGCTCATATGAATCGGAATCACATAACACGATGAATATCACGATCACAATAACAATCCAGTTCACTATAAAACTATGGCAGACAAATCCATTCATGTCAAGTCGGCGACTTCGCCTTTCTGACCTAGGTATCTATCTATCTATTTCTTTCAGTTACGAGTTGTCAATCAAACCAACTTGACTCACTGACGATATAGCCATTGTTCGAATCACTTGATTCCCATCTCTTCCTCCACCATTCCATGTACCCAACCCCGGGCATGCCTTCTGCATTTCCTCTTATGATGATGGTCAAAAGCTCACCGCTAAGACAAAGGACCCAAATCGGTCGATCATTGTCAAAGCTTTACATGTTATAAAACTCCTCCATCCTTCCACTCCCCATCCAGCCGTCACGTTCGTTAATTGCGTCCGGCATCCACCCATTTCCATTACCCAACAATCCAACCGCCCATCCTCCTACCCACAATACAAGATTTTTCGGCGAAAGCAATTGATCCATCCCGTGCACATCATATTTCTTCTCATCATCCATTCCATCGTCAATATCGTCATCCATCAGAAACCTTAGAAATAAATCAAAAACCCGGCATGCATTCTTCGCTCAAAACCAGCAGAAAAGGCGCGACAGAAACGTGATGATGTAAAGGGTATTGGCGCGAGATAAGGGGACAAAGTTATTCTGTTAGGAATAAGTGAATCTATTTGTACAGAGTAATGTGCTGATAGTGCTGTGGTGGTGATGTTGGTGCTGAACAAATGGAGTGTGCAAATCAAAGGTTCCTCATTTATCATATCGAGTGACATGGGTTTCCGTTGTCGTTATAGGTGAGTGTAACTATGGCAAAGGAACCATTCGATGATTGATGGACAAACGAATGGACAGACAGGTTCTGTGGATTCGACGCGATGTAAAGAATATGATGGAACAAACAGATCGACGTAGGCCGAGGACAATACCCCTCTGCAATGACCACACGTTGCAAAAAGAAAAGAGAAATCATAAAAAAAAAGAACGAGGAACACATTCGTTGAGCTCTATCAAAAAATCATGCGCCGGCCCTAGGAACGGACATTAAAAGTTGTAAAAGGACGCGTTTGACCATTTAGGGGTTCGATCAAGTTTGAATGGTCCCTGAGCTACCACCTGTTTGGCGCTTAACTTGCTCACGAGCCCAACGTGCGGTATCGATGGTTCTAGTTTGGAATTCTCTGTTAGACTTGGTCTCCTTGATCATTGACATGGACCCAAGTCAGCACGGTAATACGAGGCAATATTCTCCATTGGGAAAGCATCGGCAAAGATCACTAAGTTCGTTAGTACACGTGAGTCAAATAAAGGGAAATGTAGTTTCGAGCACATACCCAATAACACCCATAGCCTGATCTCATAAGAGCATCACTTCGGTGTTGATCGACCCAAATGGTATTGAGAAGGCCAAAAAATTGATTCAACGTAAAGGGCGGTAGCTGGTCAGTCTACATGGTATTAATTAAGTAGTTCCATAAGGTGGATTCTATGACTTACTCTTGTTATCCATCTTCATAGCACCAATGGATGCCACCCCCAAAGCATCCATGATACCTTCTCTTCAAAGAGATGACATAATCGAACATCTCGTATGTTCCGTCGGGGCTAGCTTGAACATTGGCAGCCTGTTGAAGAACTTGAGCAACAACAGACAAGTATGTCTCAAAGTGACCACCAATAGCACCTGCGATATCTCCAAAACATTGAAGGATGGCAGGCTTGAATTGGTTGGCGAGTGCTGTACTCTGTTTATTGTCAGAGTTGCTATTGCGGTGGGATGAATTGGGGATGGCGCCAATCTACGAAAGGCAAGACTTTTGATTCTTCAAAACATACCCTTAAATTGCTTAATAAATAGTTCATAAATGCGTCACAATATGGTTGGCATTGTGGGCCCATCGAGCGAGTAATATCACTGACGAGACCAATAGCCATGGAGCACAAACTTGGCTCCTCCTGGTTACCGAGAGCATTGTAAAGGAAGGGAGCAAAGTGCTCCATGTAATTGGCGAAACCTTCTTCGAGTGCATTGGGCCAAAACTGCTGACAGTGGCGAAAACCGCATCAGGCACAATCGATTTAGGTGTGGCTGCGGTGAGGATTTGAAGCAAGACAGTCATGATTCTGTCAGCTTGAGGAGTGACCTCCTTCTCGAGACGTTGAATGATGGCCAACAAGACAGTGCACAAGCTGACTTGCATCTCCTCGAGAGTGATTCTGTCTTCAACACTGACTACTTGAGATTGAAGAGGAAGAGTGTTTTCCAATCTCTTGATGATGACCTCGGAGAGTTGACCAACGGATGGAAGACTATCATTTGCAGCATTCATGACGAAGGTATTGAGAACTTCGTATGCAGCGGTTCTCAAAGCGTTGTCGGCGTCGGTTCTCTCAGTAACTTGAAGAAGTCTGGAGATGCTCTCATTGAAGTGAGGAGAGATAGGGTTCTCCTGGCATCCAATATCCCCGGAGAAGCGCTCAGCAAGGTTCATCAATGCCCAACAGCACGAACCTGCCATCTTAGGACTGCTGATAAGACCTTCGAACAAGGATGCAATCAATTTTGGTAAATGGTTGGTTGGATCGATAGCCTCTGAGCAAGCTTCAGTGATACGACCAAGAGCATAAGCTGCCGAGTCCTTGACGTGAATAGATTTGTCCTCCATCATGCTGATGATGACTGGCAGTGCTTGCTTGACGATTGGCTCGAGTGTCTTTTCATCCGGCCCTTCCATGATGGCACCAAAGGCGGAGACAGCAGCATCACGATCGTGCCAATCCTCTCCACGAAGCTTTTGTTCAACGAAGCTCAAAACTGGTTGAATGATCAAACCACCAACAGCTTGTGCGTAAAGTTGTAAACATTGGTATGCGGCACGGGAGATGTTATATTCATCATCAGCAGCATCCTCGTCTTGCTTTGTCAAAAGCATCAAGAGAACAGGGACAACCTCATTAGTTGCAACCTTGCTGAAATTGTAGAACGGACGCATCAAAGAAACCTCTTCGACCTATTCGTTTTGTCAGCAACATTCTTTACTAGATTTTGGTATTGAAATCTTACCTGAGCATTGTCATCTTCAATGGCGATTTCCTCTTCGCATACTGTGCTCCAGAATTCGACAGCAAGCTTGGCCACATCTTCCTCTTCGCTTTTCATTCCCATGATTGTGAGTCCGAAGAGAGCCTTCTCCATGTAGAAGCGCATCAAGTCATAATACAATGACATAATCCTGTTCAGACATCCAAAAGCTCCCTGTTGTATCCTAGAGTCGGTTGCTTGTGTGGCCTCGCAGATAACCTGCATAATGTAATTTCGCTCGCCTTCATTCTTGAAGTTGCTATCCACAAACTCCAATGAGTTGCCAAGAGCATCGATAGCTGCTAGTCGTACTTCCAAATTTGCTTCTTCCTTTCGGGCACCTTGGACGACTGCTGTTAAGATAGCATTGGAATGTTGTACGAGACTCTGTCTTAATTCCGCATCTTGAGTTTCGCAAATGAATCCGAGAGTAGTCAAGGAAGCCTGCTTAAGATGATCGGTACCCTCACCCACATTTCGCACCAAGGCGGGCATAAGCTCTGGCCATTGATCTCTAGGCAGTTCGATGGTTGCTATCGAGGATATGACTTGCGCAGCTGTTTGACCGGCTTGGTTGTTGTTTGAGGATAAAGCTTGAAGGGTCAGATCCTTCACACGCTTCCTGGTATCTGGGTCGACCTGTAGCCATTTATCTTGTAATTCTCGTTGCAGAGCATATTCGCGGGCTGTGAAGGCGTTCTTAAGGGCGATACCAGCAGCAGCTCGAATGGAACCCTGTGATTCTTCATTTGCCAACTGCTCTACGAGTGTGACAAGATATCCTGACTACATTGACGGAAGAAAAGTCAGTAAAAAGAATGCCATGGAAGCTCATCGACAGTGCGGTCAAGGCTGTGTGGGGGAACTCACAAAGTTGGCTTCAGCAGCTTGGGTAAGCTGTTGTTCAGCAGCAATACGAGTAGCATTGTCTATTGATAGTTAGTACCATAGGAGTGCAAGGTCTGTTCACCTTTGAGACAAGTTGGTGGATAGAGGGGAAGTACTGACCTGCTGCCAAGGAATTGAGCAAGACAGAACCAACGTCCATCTTTGCGATATTCCCGAGTTTTAAAGGGTATTTGTAGATGTTCGTATTATTGCAGAAGAGTTGTTTCTCTCTCTCTACAATATGCCTGGTTATTTGATGTGCGACAAGGTGGTTTGAGGAATTCAACTGGGGGGGTTGTTGATCGCAGGAGGAATTTGCGGTTGTTGAAGAAAGCGATGTTGACTTGGGTGTAATAATGACAAGGCCGATTCTTTGCTAGATACCTAGACACCAGAACTGTAGTCACTGGAACTGTCTAAAGAAGAAAGATTATAAAATTGTAAAGAGCTTAATAGCCTCTCTTTGGTCTTGTTTGTATTATTGAGTAATGATGTAAAGAATCAATAGTTCTTGTCAATAGAGAGAATTTTTTTAAATGGTCTCTGGATTGTTTAGAAATTGATGTCCAAAGTCAACAAAGTCAAATTTCATACTTGATCATTAATGGAGCGGTGTCCCCGCCATGAGTTGTATAATTGGTTCGTTTAGGTCTTTGATCAGCAATTCACGTGATTTGGTCAATCTCACATGGAAATCTCCGGACGTGGGAGCGTGGATAAGAAATCATCAATTCAATTCAATAAATATACCGGTAGATGGGTATATAAATAAAATTGATACACAAAGCCACTTATGACTTGCTCTATTGATTCCTCGAGTATAAGATCGCTACATACCTACTTGCTTATAAAGAGGCAAATCATAGAAAGAACTCTTTTTTATTGAGATAGGTATCTCTTCTGATAATCATCATTTTGTTTCCAAATTTCCCATCATTTTCATTTCAAATTTCAAATGCACTTTTTGATCGCTTTTCCAGATGATATATCCCCTCCATGAACCCCATCCCAAAAGAAGGCGCGCTAAAAGCTACCCCTCATTTTAACTACGAAAGCAGCTTTAAGAGAGACCAAGAACAACGAAAAAATAAGTAATAAACAATTTATGCTTCATTGACCTTAGCCTCCAAGACACTCACTGCATCCGGTCCACTCTTTGCTGCTGTGGTAGGTTTAGGAATTGCAAGGCCGCCGTTCTCTTTTTGTGAGTCGTCGACCTTAAAGTCACGGCTGGTGCTCACACCATTCTTACCCTTGAGGAGTAATGGTGTTGTAGGTCTGCTTGCCATGAACTGTAATGGTGTTAGATATTTTTTGAATCAAGTAATGATGCTAGGTGACTTACGTTTGAAGCTGCACTCAAAAGAGCAATCAAAGACGATTGAACAACATCCTCGTGAACTCCAACACCCCATACTTTCTGCTTAGAGCCTGTAGCTGTACATTCGATATAAGACGCAGCCTTGACATTTGTACCAGCACCAACTGCATGCTCCTTATAATCTACTACCTCGAGATCAATACCTAAGCTCTTCAAAGCATTTGCCAAACTAGAAATGGGTCCATTTCCTAATCCTTTCAATTCGTGTTCCTGTCCGTCAATTGAAATGACACCTTCGAATCGACGCTTCAAATTTGTCGTATCTTGTGTCTTGCCTGGAGCGGGTGGCACGGGTGAGGCACTTCTGTCGGTACTGATAGAGTAATCGACAAGGCTGAATCTTGGATTGTGCTTGAGGTAGTAAGTTTGCTCAAACAAGTCTTGAATTTCCCGTGAGAGAAGCTCGCGGCTAAGTTCATCCGCACGCTTTTGAACTACTTTGCTGAAAGCAACTTGTAATCCTCTTGGGAGATCAAGCTCAAGGTTTCTCAAGATAATCCAAGCAGCTCCACCCTTACCACTCTGTGAATTGACACGGATCACAGCTTCGTAAGTACGTCCAATATCCTGAGGATCGAGTGGAAGATACGGTACTTCCCAGCGGTTCTCGTCTCCGTGATTTCCCTTCTTTCGGAGTTGGAAACCCTTCTTGATTGCGTCTTGGTGAGAGCCACTGAACGCACACACAACCAAGGAACCACCGTAAGGAGCTCTTGGGTGAACTGGAATCTTATTGCTAATTTCCACAACATCAATGACCCGCTCAAGATCCGAGAAATCAATACCAGGGTTGATGCCTTGAGTGTAGAGGTTCAAAGCCAAAGTGACCAAATCCACATTTCCTGTTCTCTCTCCGTTCCCGAATAAACAACCCTCAACTCTGTCAGCACCAGCCATTTGTGCCAACTCTGCAGCTGCAACAGCACATCCTCGGTCATTATGTGGATGTAAGCTGACGCAAATCTTTTCTCTCTCTGTTATATTTCTGCAGAAGTATTCGATCTGATCTGCGTAGACATTTGGAGTTGACATTTCGACTGTTGCGGGGAGGTTGAAGATGATTGGATTCTCTACTGTCGGACCCCATGCCTCCTTGACTGCCTCACACACCCGGATCGCATAGTCTGGATTAGTATCCGAAAAAGTTTCAGGACTGAATTCGAAAGCCCACTCAGTACCGGCGTGTTCGGGATCGTCCTTTGTAATAGATCGAGCATATTTTGCGCACTTGACTGCCAATGCCAAACTTTCTTCCTCATTCAAGCCAAATACAATTCTCTGGAAGCATTCGCTGGTAGCAAGGTAAATATGTAGAATAGCCTTCTTGGCTCCCTTGAGGGAGTCAACGGTTCGCTTCATGAATTCTTCACGACATGGTGAGAGAACTTGGAGCCAGACATCATCTGGTACGACACCGGGAGTTTCAACAAGGCGCCTGGTGAAATCGAAATCTGTTTGCGAAGCAGATGGGAATGAGACTTCAATTTCCTTGTAACCAAGCTCTACCAACATCTTAAAAAATTTCCATTTTTGTTCACCATCCATAGGGTCGACTAAACTTTGGTTGCCATCTCGCAAATCTGTGCTGAGCCATCTTGGAGGTTTATCGATGGTTTTGGAAGGCCATTGTCTGTCCGCCAATTGAATAGGAGGAAATCTCTTGTATTTCGTTGAGGGATCTTTAAGCCTATGAAGAAACCAGAAATTAGAATTATATTCGAGACATTGAAGAGTTCACTGTGACTTGTGTGAAGTAATAGCTTACATGGGCATTTTGACCAAATCGCGGGGTTATATCTGATGGATTAACTTTTACTTTCAAGAAGTTTCCGCTTTGTGATTGAAAATTGGTTTAAGCTTGCGGGTTTGAAAAGATAATCAGAAAAGCAATGTTATTGAGATGATTTGATACAGAGAATAAATCAGACGAGATAGATGGGAATTTATAAGAATTGTCCAAGTAAATAATTGAGTCACCAATCATGGAATTATCGAAGACTCACTCAAACCAATCGAAAGTGACGCTATTTCGAATAAATTTTGTTAAGCCGATCGCGGGGCGAGGGGAAATTCTGTGACTCAACCAATCAATTCTACGTCCGTAATTATACCTAGATTTAGCCGTTGCTCTTTGTTACTTTCTGTTACTTTCACACCCAGTGTTACACGGAAAGTCTCGGTTCTTGATTCGATATATTATATTATTTTATATTATACCAGTAATAGATCCATGAATAACGACAATTCTACTCAACTACCTACTAGGTAGCTACCCATACAATATATATATATCAACGGAGATATTCAAAGTTTGAAAGATACATCTTTAAATTTCCAAAATAGTTAGCCTCCATAGCAATGGCACCCGGTAGATCAACGGAGCTTCATTTATTAACCGACTAATATTCCTAGTATGGGAACTTGCTCGATGCATGTATGACATGACTTCATTTTTGCAGGGCGTGGATGCATAGCGCCAATCAATCATGAAAATATCCTAGGTTAGCACACAGTAAGTACCACCCTAAATGTAAATATCTACCTACTACTTAGATATCTGCTATCACAATATCATATAACACAACATCACAATCAGAATCACCAATCACTAAATCACAAATCTCAATATCATGAATAGTTTAAATATTTCAATTATATCAAAAAGACAACTATCTCTGGCCGACTACCTTTCTTATCCTATGAACGAGTAGTCCAATCCCTTAATGCCAATTCTGGATATCCCAATGTAACAAACTCCCCGCTAAAAGCGAATCCAGTCTTCCTTCTACCATCTCTCTTCTTTCTCTCGTGCAATCATAATATGATCTATATACAAAGCGCAGGCGTGGTCTGGTCCGGTAGTATAATACAAAGCTCTCTCCCATAAAAAGTATTAATTATGTCCGAAAATCGAAGAAGAAAATATTATTGACCATCCACTCATTCTGCACCACTCGACTTGCCATCTCTTGGGTTGTGTAATCCTTTCTTGGGTTGCTCTTCTTGGCATCTTTAAAACGTATGTGGGAATGTGTCTCTAAGAATCATTCTCCGCATTACCAAGTAAAACTCTCCTCGATAAAATCCACCACCCCATGTTCTTGGACTTCTCTCACTGCTTCTCTGATGCTGTCTTGCAATGCTCCTGGTCCACAAACGGTAACGCACATGGCGCCTACTTGTTCCCTAACTTCAGTCTGTAACAACAGGTTGATATTAGGTCTACCGGGCAACATTTGGACTGTCGCGCTCGGAGAATGGATCTCCTTTGGGTTCTTAGGTTTCGTGACAAACAACTTGATGGTGAGAATGTCGCGACGTCCTTGCATGCGTAGGATTTCGTCCATCCAAGGTCGCACCCATTCAAGATGTTCGACGTCACGGATGATCCAAACGAGTAGGACCTTTTTAGTGGCGATGGTACCATCGTTGTAGCCTTGGATAAGGTGTTGAACGTAGGGAATCTGATGCGTGATTCCTGAGGATCCGGCAAAGAGGACCGCGTGGCCGTAAGAATCAAGAGAGTGGTGTCCAGCATAGGGTCCTTCGAATGCAGCCTTGAGTGTGAGAACACGTGGACTGGCAACTTTAGCTGCATCGAAGAGACGACGGGTCAAACCAGTTTGCGCATGAATGACAAAGCTGATATCGGTTGTTTGTTCTTCGGAAACCATTCTCTTTTCGTTGAGTGGGAGTTCAGGGGAGAACTTTGGACGATGGGCCACCCAAGCGATGGAGAAGGGATGCGACTCCCAGAAGTTGAGTTTGGCGAAACGAAG